CAGGTCCATCTACTTTACAATCATTAATAGATACAATTACTAAAGGAGTAGATGATAAATTTTTTTCTTTCTTGCTTAAGAAAAGTAATGAAAAGGGATCAAAAAAATATAAAGATGACTCTGATGAAGATCTAGCCAATCATATGAGTAAGTTATCAATAAATAAGACTATATCTAGACAGGTCAAGAAGGAGATTAAGAAAACTTCCCAACACAGATGCTCAGGATGCCATAGAATTGGTTATTGTTCAAATTCTCCTAAATATCTAAAAAATAAAAAGAAGAGCAGATCTAGAAAGAAAGGTAGTGTCAATAAGGTTTCTATAGATTCCAATTCTGATACTGATAATTCTTCTAGTAGCAATTCTGAATCTGATTCTGAGACAGGATCTGATGCTGAGAATTTGTCTTCTGAAGCTGAATCTGATTATAGTATTAATATACACATCTCTAAAGCAAAAAAAAAACAAGTAAAGCAGAGGAGTAATTCGAATAAATCATCTTCTAAGAAGTCTAAATCACGCAAAATGAAAAAAGATAGTTCGATCTCTAATTAAGTACAAAAGAGTTCAGGTATAATTATTGATAAACAAATCTGAAAAATAATTTTAGATATGTTTAATGATCCAGATATAATAGAAATGATTAAAAACAATATCTTTAGAGGAGCAAGTACCAAAGGTGCTAGTTTTACTAAAACTTCTACAAATAATATAATTCTACCTATTATGAATTCAGATTTTACAAATTACCAAGAACCAGTCCCAGAAATACCTGATTCAGATGGAGAAGAAGAGACTTTAGATGACCCTATGGAGATAGACTTTGTTGTAAAGAAAGAATCTACTACAACTATCACAACTGTACCATGTAAAATTAAATATCTAAAAATTTCAGCAATGATATTAGATTCGGCCACCCAACCCATGATTATAACAGATGACATTGTTAAACATGTGGGTGGGAAGATTGATAAATTAGAAATATATGATCTCAGAGGTATTGCTATTCCAACTGAATCTATTAGTGTTATCCATAATTTACTAATAATATTCCCTCCAGGTTTTACTATATATGAAGATTTTGTAGTTGTGAAATATAAAAAGCCAACATTAATATTTTCGAATCTACTTCTCAAAAAATACAAATGTGCTATAGATTGGGCCAAAGATGAGTTAAAAATTTCTTTTAATAGGAAAGATCATATTATTCCTGTAACTATACACAATGTCAAGAATAAACTTGAAGTAAATTGTGCTACCACATTTCAGAATGATAAGGATGAAGTCCTATTGCTTTGCAGAACTGAAGGGACAACCCTAGGCTCGAAGAGCCATTTCTCTAAAATAAAGAGTTATAAACCTTTGGTATCTGATCAAATTTTCAAGAGACAGATAGTAATAAGAGTGATAATGATCTATTAGAAGAATGGTATACTCCTGCAGGTTTTAACCTAGATTTTGATAATTTGACTTTAAAAAAAATGTGTGAATTGTGAGAGGGCTATCAAAATCATTAATATTCATAACAGACTTTTATTATCAAAATACGAAACTATAAATAAAGAGAAAACTGATTAAGAATTGCTAGAGAAAGACAAAATGACTATTTAATTTATGATCTGACTCTTCTATTTGTTTCTCTCCCTCATTTAATGCTTGCTCAATTTAGGTATCATTAATAGTAGATAAATCAGAAACTCGAATAGATTTGGGTTTTGATTGCCTCTTTTTTATCTGTCTATCTGAAGTTTTAACTGAAGTATGTAAGCTCAAAGAGCCATGATTTGAAGAATTGTCTAATGACTTGCCCTGCAATAAAGGTATATAGTTATCTTCTAATTAATTATTTATTGTGAAGCAATAACCTTTCAGGACTAGAGATATGGATGTTATTTCAGAAAAAATTGTACTTTGTATCTGAGATGGATAAGAATCTATCATTTGTTATTTTCATTCCCAATTCTCAATATATTCTTTGGCTCGAGAAACAGATATATGGTATTTTTTTGCTATTGTATTTATGCCATCAGGTACTCTACCGAATGATATTTTAAAGTCTTTGATCGCCTCATCTGATAAATACCTTGCATTTGCACTATAGTATTCTTTATGAATATAACCCATATCAGAATATTTTTATTGTTTATGAACTATTAAAAAAATAAAGAAAAATTTTGAACCATTTTGCTATAACTTGATATATATTGATATATTTCGAAATGTTTCAAAATATTTGTGTATGCTTCAGAATATTTAAAAATTTTTTAATATGCGTAAATATTTGTACTAATTATTTACCATATCTGCAAATTTCCATATAACATAAATATGTATATGTGATATGTAATACTTTCTAGTTAAAATCAATATTGCATTTTGTATATCTTTACTATTTATTATCTTACAAATTACTTCAGGTAGAAGGTATGTTTTATTTAACTAAAATCTTTTAGACATTTTCTAATAATCAAAAATTTTATAATTTATCTTATTTTTATTACACATAATTTAGCCAAAATATATGGCCAATGCACAAGATAAAGAATCTCGTATTGTAAAAGTTATATCTAGGTTAAATTCCTATAATAAAAAATTACAAGACAGGTATATAAAGCAAGAGCGAAATTTTGATCATGAATGGAGAAGTTGGGAACAGAAGAGAAAAAAATAAAGTCAGAAACTGGGTGGGTCCAATACTATGATTCAGAAATTATATACTCATGATCTCGAACTCATTGATGAAGCTAGGCATTTACAGATTGAAAATGCTAATAAAGACATTTCTCTTGCAAAATCCAAAGCTGAGAATGATATAAAATCTAAGAAAAGTAAATCGCTTGAGTTTATGATTAAGATATTGGAAGGTAAGTTGTCTTTAGCCCAGAAAGATGTGTTTTCGATTCAAAATGACTTATCGAAAAAAGAAACTGAGATTACATCTCTCAAATTTAAAATAGCTGGAGTAGAATATAAGTTAGCTTCAAAAGTTAATGAACTTAAGTGTCTGAAATCAGAGGATATATCAAATCCCATACTTGGTGAAGATGATAAAAAAAATATAACCAAGCCTGAGATATATCTTTGGGTAGTACTAATCTTAGTAAATATTTTATACACAAAAAAAATATGGATCAAGCTATGGTGCTCCAAGTCACTTGTCATCAAATACGCCAAATTAGGCTAAATATATTCAATGCGCCAAATAATGAAGACCTGAGAAATTCTGCTATAGACAGTCAAATAACCTAAAATACGAGCATGTTCTTCAGAAAAAAGCAAAATATTAGAGATTTTAGATAAATACAAAAAATAACTTGTATTGTTAGTATCTGCAGAAAATCAGTAACTCTTTGCGTATTATTTGCTTGCACGTGATTTTGAATCACTTGCTTACGCACAATTTCGATTACTCGTGTATTATTTTGATCACTTGATCACTTGTGCATTAGAATCAACCAGGGCAGCCATCAAATTTACTATCATGAGTAGCGCCACTTGCCTTAATTAAGTCAGTTCTAGATTTATCACTATAGTGCTATTGTTATGACCAGTGTTGTTAAAATTAGTGGTTAACCAAAAATTTGCCGGTCAAATTGGTCAAAATGGTCGAGTCTATTATATAATATAATAAATATGTATTATATCATAAACTATATTAAAATCTATCATTTGACCAATTTGACCAATACAATCCTTGGACCAGACCGGTCAAATTGGTCTAACCAATACTGGTTTATTTGCATATTTTGCATATTGAACCTAGACGCCACTACTCACATGACAGTAAATTTGATGGTCACCCTGATCGATTCTGTGCATGATTCGGGTCACACTGTATTATTTTAGAATTAAATAATAAACTCTAAAAATAGCTAGTGCAACGATGCATATAGTTTGTATTCTTTTACATAATTATAATCACTATCATCAACCTTTTATATACATTTAACCATGTTACTGAAAATACAAAACTAAATCCACTTTTGCCGATTTTTAACATATTTTAAATTATATACAGCATTTCTGAAATCTAATCTATTAATATATTATATTAAGTGCGCATTATTTTTGAATATGCCTATAAGTTATATTGTTTCGAACCTAACTTTTCTTAGAGGTGTAATTTTTAAACAAAGTTTTTACCATATATATATTACGTTTATAACTTATCTAAATAATAATATATCTACTTATCTAAATAATAATATACCTTACAATAGTAGACTAGTAGACAGGTCTAATATAGATTTTATTTGAAGTAAAACATTTCAATATACATAATGTTGGATTTTTAACAAGAATTTTTTTTTTACAAGACCTCCAGATAATTTATATGATAAAATATATATTTCAAAAACCAAATTCAATAATTCAATAAAATTTCTTTTTATCATAGCATTACTCATTTGAACTCAAAGTAATAATAAATAATTCCTATTTTTTAATTCACACTATTTAGCATTTAATCTAACTCTAAATCAATTTCATTCAGAATGCGTCTATGAGAACGATACTTACGCACAGCATATTCTGCTACCCGGCCAGTAAGTCCATGTCTATAAGCATCCATATAACGCCATGCCTTCTGTGCAAAACGACGTATAGTTATGAGTGATACAGTGTCAAGTGCTTCAGACACAGTAACTTGTAAACGTGCCCATGAATAATTGCAATGATCACGTGAATAACGTTTTGCAGCGCCTCAGTATCGCTCAATGAAATTTAGCTCACAATGAAACTTGGGATAAAATATACAAACATGTCCTTGTTCAACAATAAGTTCTTCTAATGCTTATTTTTGCATAGTAAAATCAGGTTATGCAGACAAAAGATGACACGCACAACAATTAGGTGTATTTGAATCATAATAGTTATTTACACACTTTAGTCTTAAACCACTAGTAGGCCATAAATTGCGTTCAAGAAGTACTTGATAAATTCCTTTTAGTTAATTGCGAAAGACATAATTAGGATCATCAGAAGGAAGGTCTTCAGAAAAAATCATTGATTGAGTAACTTGTTCACCTTGTGTATTAATAAACCAGCCATTACGTAATCTTGACTGTTTACCACCAGGGTAAAGATTCATTTTTTTAGCACATAATGCATCACTTGCAAAAGCACTATGGTTGGTACTGTTATCAAATACAAAGACACCAACGCAGTTTGGATGAATTGCTTCAAAAATAGGAATTGCTTTATTAGCTACTTGTATAAGCAAATCTGAAGCATTTCACCAACCATCATCATGTTTTCCTGGTTTGATAATTTCACGAGCCTCTTGTGGAAATGTTGATGGTAGGTTTAATTCATTTATTTCTGCGGAAGTAATTGTAAGGCGATCACGAGTTTCAGTTAAAAATTCTGAAATCATAAGTGCTTTACCCATTCCCTTTTTGCGTAATGGCGGCATACCAAAAGGAGCCCATACTGAAGGACAACCATCATTAGCATAGAATGTACACTCATCATGAGTAACAAAAATATGCATTTTTTCTCCTTTACTTAATTCAGGATTTATAACTATTTCTATGTATTTACCAACAAATTGTGGCATTAATTGTTCAAAATTTTTCATTCTTTCAAGAAATACAGCACGATATTGTACAACATCAGG